AGATCTGTTGTCTGGAACTCTCAATCTGGACTTTCTTTTTGAAATCTTATTTTTAATTATGTGCACGAATCTGTGCATGTATGCATACAGGTGCATGTATAGGCCAGAGGAGGGTGTCATATCCCCTGAAGTTGGAGTTACAGGAGGATATGAGCCAACACAGGTGCTGAAAATGAACCATAAAGAGTATGACTGGGTCCATGATTGCTGTGCCAGCTCTCTATGCCCTTATTCTGGACTTTGCCCCAAGAGATGTGTGTCAGTTTCGAATGTTTTGTCGTGGGGTCATGGGAATGGCAGTCGCTGGATAAGGACCACAGATCACAATGAGGTCAGCTTCCCATTTGTGTATTGACTACATATACTTTCCCCTCTCTTGGTAAGTGGAGCTGTGGGTGCTCACTCTGGTCCCACACCAGAACCTGTTTTTAGCAATGGTCCCTTTCCTCATTGTTCATTGATCTCTATGGAGAGCAGCTTTCTCTGCATTTATTGGGCCCTAATCCACCAGGCTCACTTTGTGTGGCCAGTCACTCTCCAATTCTCAGGACTCTACTAAGAACCTGTTTGCATTCTGTGGTAGTAGACCCTGGGGAGTCTTTCTCACTGTCTCCACCTCACACACCCCACCTCTGCCTCCATAGGCATCTCTCTACTGTTCCCTTTCCTTCTATGTCCTGCTCATGTGCCTAAATCCAGCATCCACCCTGGTGCTTACAGCTCCAGCATCATTGCTCCCAGTCCTGCTTTGAGTAGAAGTATGTTGTCTTGGTCAGGGTTTCTGTTGCTGTGACAAACACCACGAGCAAAATGCAAACTGGGAAAGAAAGGGATTATTTGGCTTACACTTCAACATTGCTGTTCATCACTGAAGGAAATTTGGACAAGAACTCAAACAGGGCAGGATCCTGGAGACAGGAGCTGATGTAGAGGCCATGGATGGGTGCTGATTACTGCCTTACTCCCCATGGCTTGCTTAGCCTGTTTTCTTTGTTTGTTTGTTTTTTGTTGTTTTTCAAGACAGGGTTTCTCTGTGTATTTTTGGTGCCTGTCCTGGATCTCGTTCTCTAGATCAGGCTGGCCTCAAACACACACTGGCTCTGCCTCCCAAGTGCTGGGATTAAAGGCATGCACCACCACTGCCTGGCCTGCTTTCTTATAGAACCCAGGACCACTAGTCCAGGGATGGCACCACCCACAATGGGCTGTTTCCTCAGTTTCCAAAGAGGGCTTGGACACATGCTGCTGCACCCCTCTTTTTTAGTCTGCCACAGCTCACAAGTGGTCACAGCATCAAAATCAGCTCATGTCGTGGCCCCATTCTTACAGGACCCGAAGCTCTACGCCCATGCCATCAACCACCATACTAATGCCCTACACCACCATACTAATGCCCCTTTGATGTGTCTTCCCTGCTGGAACTCAGGCATAAGCCTCTCTATACATTTCCCACACTGCCTCTCCTTCAATTACCCTTGGGCTAACACAGACTTTTTTCCCTGCATGTCCCAAACTCTGTATCCAATGTCTCCCCCTAACCTGGGCTGGTGCATCTACTGAGAAACCTTTGCCTCTCTGGTCTGACCTGAGAGGAATGTGTCAATGTGCATCTTGTGCATAGAGGTGGGAGAAGAGAGGAAACTTCCTTCTAGTCAGCATGGGATGGGTTCTTCTGATTCCTTTGAAACAGTAGGACCTGAGGCAGAAGGACTCCTAGTACCATGACTGAGCCATTGAAAGGACGAATAGTGAACAGACCTGGGGGCAGCCTGGGCCATTGCTCACAATCCTCCTCCCATGAATGCTCAGAATGTCCTCTTTGTGTATTTGGTGCAGATAAGAGTGGACTCCTAAGTATTGGTGGAACTCAGCTCTCTTTGTGAACAGTCTTCTCACTGGCAACTTGCCCTGTTCCTGTTTTTATGTATTTGCTCATATATACAGGGTCAATGATTAAGGTGAGGATAGCACAATGTGACAACAGAGAAGACTATGTGCCTGAGTGAGGATCTCTGTGGCTCCTGAGAAACTTGTGATTTGTGGAGTAATAAAGATGACTCAGGGTTTTTCACCTCTCTTTGTCCTTCAAACATGATATTTTCTCAATAATTGACACCCACAACTTAATGCTACCCCAAAAAAGACATGAAATATATTGAATACACATCTCTTTGTTGATGAAAGAATAAGGTTTCACAGCCATTATGAGCACTCGTCAGTGACACCAGAATATCTTCATTGAGTGCCGGGACAAGATGATGCTTCAGGATTCCTCCAAAAGCTTTACTGCAAGGTGTTCTGCCTGTCAGCAGATTCACACTTCAGCATTTGAGACTGCTGAGTTTTCCTGTACTTGGCTCTTCTTCTCTTAAACCACTTCTGCAATAACATGGTGAAAGAGATAGCTTTAGTATATTCAACAGTCAATATCACAACTGGAAAAAACTCTGTGTAACTGTACATAGCAGTGAGGCTTTAGACTTACCAGAACAATCTCATACATATGGGTTTTTTCTTTAAAATTATTTTATAGGATATATTTGATCGTTTCCCCTCCTGAACATGTCTCACATTCTCCATACCTCCTAACCCACCCAACTTCATTCTCTCTCTCACCCACCCAACTTCCTTCATTCTCTCTCTCTCTCTCTCTCTCTCTCTCTCTCTCTCTCTCTCTCTCTCTCTCCAAAAATAAGATAATGACAAAAAATCAAAACAAACTAAAAGATGACAGAAAAACCAAACAAAAGAAGAAGAAATCCTGCAGAAAACATGGAGTCAACCAGAACTATTCCTGGGTATGGGGCCTGCCCCAGAGTATGGTTGCTATACCCAGTGACACTCTATGCAGAAAACTCATGTTCCCTCTTCAATCAGGTATCACCTGCAAGGAGCTTCTTGGTGAGGGGTGGAACTTTGTGTCCACTTCCCCTTCTCAGTGCTAGAATTTTGTCTGGTTTGAACACTTGCAGGTCTTTTGTCTGAAAGTGAGAGACTTTGTGCCAGGGCAAGACAACAAAAAGCTTCCTCCATTTTGTATTCTTGCTAAGGCCATTTCAGATTTACCAGGAATTTGATCTCCTTGTTAGAAAAATCTTGAAAAATTATCCAAATCTATTATTCTGAGGACCAGAGGTCAATATGTCCTAGCTACATAATCTCAGCTTCTGTTAAACTACCTGCTTGTACAGAACACTCTCTCCAGCTAACCACTTAATTTGGCTTCTACTAAAACTGCTTATTTCAAAGTACTTTCTCTGCAAAGCCCCCCTGATGCTGCTGAGTGTGATGCCAGGACATTTTCTGTCTTTAAAAACACCATGTTCTGTACTCTCCAGGCTACACCTAGGTCCCTGAATAGCGTGGATGTGATCCCATCCAGCTGGAATAAATACTTTTAATTGGCTATAAATTGTTTGAGTGGCCAAATTTGGTGGGCTATGGGTAAAATTTTGAAGGTCTCTCTGAGATCCCAGAGATTGGATGCAGACACTTAGGCTCTTGGGATCCCCAGGAACAGTGAAGAGTGCACCAGCTGGAGAGGAATCTTAGGGGATGTGCTCAGCCTGCGACGGTCCAGGATCCCAAGAAAATCATCTCTTTGCCATTGCTGCTGAGCACTCAGGAGGCACCCAGTATTGGTCACCACCCAAAAGAGAAACAAACAAAAAAGGTAAAACAAAAGTCATCCGGTCTGAACACCTCCAGAGGTAAGTTTACTCTGTAAGGGGTAACATCTGGTTAGGACACAAGAGGAGAGGTCACACTTGACTATCGATCCTGTGTCTAGGATCTGTGAGATGTCACTGGATTGCTGGTCTGCAGGTGTATGAACGTGTGGTGGCCACCCCTATTTGCCATTTGTCTTTTGTATGTGTCTCTCAGTATGACTGTGTCTCCCTGAAAATTTCTGTCAGTTCTGTTGGCTGAAGAAACAGATCAAAAATGAAAGGAAGAATAAGTAATCTAAGACCACAGCTAGAGCTGCCCCTAAGCAGTGCACAATTTCCTGCAAGCTCATGGGCAATGCCAGGCAGCACCTTGGTGCCCCTGTTTCTGGCAGCAGTTGTGGCTGTGCCTTGTGGCAGCTGGCTCCACTACTGCAATGACTACCTGGGTGCTTCAAAGCCTCATCTGTAATCACCAGTTCCCATGTAATAACCAATGGCTTCCTCTGGTGCAAGACCCCTACCCTTGGCTTAAGACCTGTGTCTTCTCCTTGGAAACCAGAATCCTTTGGGCCTAACCGAGTAACTCAGAGAAACCCCAAACTTCTGGCTGTTCCCTCAGTTGGGAGATGGGAATAATTCCCAGAGCCAGGTGCTGGTTGCTCAGAGGAAGGAGAAAATTAAAGGGACTCTAGCCTGCTTAAGCATGGCAAACATGGCTCTGGCAGGTCTTATCCATCTCCCCATTCCCTATGCCTTGCTAAAAACTGTTAGCTTACATTCCTAAAGCTAGCCACCAAGGTCTATTCCCTTATTTGTCCACTTCCTTCTCCTGACGCTCACTACCAAGTTTTGTATCAAAGTGTTGAAGTCCAGCAATCAAAATCCTCTTGTGGCTTCCCTAATTAACATGTCCAATCAAAATTAAACACCTTATCCTAAAGGGAAGTTTCCCCTTTTACCTTTGTAAACTGCCGTTTTCCTATGGCCCATGTCTGTCTCATCTCTATCCAGAGACAATCTTTTGTCATCATCCCCCACAAATATCCCCCTCTCCCTTGTTTCCTTCCCCTTCTCCCTCATCCTCTATCTCCTGTCTTTGTCTCTTATTCCCTGCCCTTTGTGTCTCTGGGGCAAATAAATCTCCTTTGTGCTGAGAAGTTGGTCTTGGGGGTCTGGAA